GAAGGTTGTAGGGTGGAGGTGATCTCTACTTCAGAGCAATCGGCCTTGGGCTGAGTCTTCTTTCCCCTAGTGAAGCCCTTGGCCTCCACGCTGTTTTTGCAGATGAAATACAAGACACTGCTGTTGTTGTTAAGTACCATGGAGTCAGTTCCAACTCACAGTGACCCTACACAGAGTTTCTGAGGCTGCTAATCTTTACGGGAGCAGAACGCCTCATCTTTCTCCCATGGAACAGCTGGTAGTTTCAAACTGCTGACCTTGTGGTCTGCAGCCCAATTCGTAACCACTACGCTAAATGGGCTTAACAGCAGTTTATCTGTTATATAGAAACATTGGTAAACTCGAAAACAATCAAGACAATCCAAAATGAAACAGCAAGGGAACAAATACACCTGTAATGAAGTCCCTAAGGGGCAAAGGCAGAAGATAAGGCCAAAACTTCCACAACTTGATGAAACTATTTATCAAAAGATTTAAGAAGCTCAAAGCACCCCTGTCACAAGGCATATGAGGAAAACTACTTAATGAAATTACTCACAATCAGTAATAGACATAAAATCTGAAAAGAAACCAGAGGGAAAAAATGGCACATTATATACAGAGGGACAGAGAAAAGAATGATGTCAAGAGTTATTACTGGAAACAATGCAGGAAGTCACTGATGTAAGACCAAGTCTACACAAACGTTCCCAGGAAACTGAAGAGGACAAATACTCCCCATACTTTTCATAAGGCCAGCATTACCCCAAGACAAAAAACAAGAGGTAAGAAGAAATTACAAAAATGGAATACTACAGATGGATCTTGGCTGAAAGCAAAGAATACCAGAAAGATAAATTTACGTGTATTTTATTGACTATGCAAAGACATTTGACCGTGTGGATCACAGCAAACTATGGGCAGTATTGTGAAGAACAGGAATTCCAGAATACTTCATTGTGCTTATGTGGAACCCATACGTAGACCAAGAGGCAGCTGTTCAAACAGAACAAAAGGATACTGCATGGAGTAACATCAAGAAAGGTGTGCATCTTGGTTGTAGCCTTTCACCGTACTTATTCAATCTGTACGATGAGAAAATAATCCAAGAAGCTAAACTATATGAAGAAGAATGTAGCATCAGGATTGGACAAGGGCTCATTACCAACTTG